GGAGACTTAAGTCAATGCAAGAACTGGCGTGGAATTATGCTTCTGTCCATTCCAAGCAAGATACTAAGTCGCATCATCCTGGAGAGAATCAAACAAGCCAATCTGGATGAAAAACTTCGACCGGAACAAGCTGGATTCAGGAGAAACAAATCATGTATTGATCAAATCGCCACTCTACGGATCATCATTGAACAAAGCTTGGAATAGCAGTCACCTCTCTATCTCAACTTCATCGACTTTGAAAAGGCCTTCAGCAGACAGCATCGATCGAGTGGTCATTTGGCAACTACTTCGCTACTACGGGTTCCCATCGACAATTATACATCTCATCCAACAGTTATACGACAATGCTGCATGGCAAGTAATCCACAACGGGAAACTTACGGGAGCCTTCGAAGTGAGGGCGGGAGTGAGACAAGGCTGTCTACTATCACCAATGATCTTCCTGATTGCAGTAGATTGGATAATGCGACAGACAGCTGGCGGGCAATGAGGAAACAGGTATTAAATGGGCTCACACAAAAAACATGGGGGATCCGGACTTCGACGATAATGATATGTGACTGGTTCTCCACAAACTGGAAGATATTCAAGTGAAAAGCAACAAGCTGGCAAAAGAAGCATCGAAGATAGGACTTCACTGCAGGTGAACATAGATAAAACAGAGGTAGGTGATGAAGATTCCCGGCCAACACCAACAGCAGCAACAACAACAGACAACAATCACCCAGCATAAATGGGAGGAACCTGAAAGAAACAGCCTCCTTCACCTACCCACATGGAAAGCATCGTTTCAACTACAGGCGGACGGAACTGACGAGGATATCAAAGCACGGAGGATCGGAAAAGCAAGACAAGCTTTCATCACTCTCAAGTCTGTGTGGAGGTCAACAACACTACTCAGCATGAGAATGAAAATAAGATCCGGATTTTCAACTCCAATGTGAAGTCAGTCAGTGGTACTCTATACGGATCAGAGACTTGGCGTGCCATAAAGAGCACCTCCAGTAAACTACAGACCTTCATCAACAGCTATCTTCCCTCAATACCACTCAAGATCAGATGGCCGGTCAGGAAAGATCAGCAACAGGGATCTCTGGCAATGAGTGAATCAACACTGCAGGAACCGATTGTGAAACAAATCGGCAGGAAGAAATGGAGATAGATTGGCCATACTCTGAGGAAACAAACCATCAAGTGACATCACACGCCATCCCATTGGTCGAGTGGAACCCGAAAGGGAAGCGGCGAGTTGGTTGTCAGTGTGAGGGTGGTATGGAGGAGGTCATGTGAAGAGGAGATGAAAGCATGTGTGCAGACTTGGAGCGGGTGAAAAAGTTGGCAAAAAACCGATGGCAATGGAGATGCGCAGCTGAAGCCCTATGTTCCGCTAGGAATTAAAGGATACAATAATAATAATAATAATAATCTAATTACATTTGACATCATCCCACAAACGTGTGTGCTTATAACTGAAGTGAATGTGTTCATACAAACAAAAATTGTAGTGTTGTTAAAACACAGACGATGTCAATAGTGATCAACAATGCATAAGAAAATCTCCGTAAACAATACGCGGTCTGAATACATGATTGACAGAATTTTTACAAATGTGTCTAACAAGACACTATATATAATCACCATACGGAATGCAATAAATTCTTTGTAATGATAATAAATTATTATTATTACAGTTGGCTACTAAGCTACAAAACAAATTATCGCATAATAACAAAATTCTTTCCTTCAGATACTGACAATTATAAAAATTGAAATATTTTTTTGTTTCCGTTGCACAATAATAGTAAGTTGTGCGATGAATACACATATTAGGTAAAATAAAACAGATAAGTCACCGCGCGCTGACGCCTTCTCAGCTTCTCACACAAATTAAATAGAAAAAAGAAAAACTAATTTTTGATCGGATGCGTAGCATTTAGAAACGGAGAGATCGATTTACTCTGAAGGCTGTGTGGAGAGGGAGAGAGAGAGAGAACATTACATTCATCTGTCACATTCTAAGCGAAAATGGATGGATATCCAGAGAAGTTTATACAAAAAGGTCAACATAGATGGATGATAGCCACAGACATGAACTGGCAGTCTGCAATTTGAGGGAAATACTCCTACACACCCGCACACCCACACATACACACGCAGAGATTCTATTACGACGTGTAAACAGAGCGATAAAGAAGACATAATGCTCCAAGCCATTGCTTAAGTGGGACTCGAATGCGGAACAATGAGTTGGGAGTCCAAGGGTGACACAGAAAAGATTAGAGACTATGGGGAATCGTTAGACCAACTAAAGTGGACTGCAGAGAATAGGACAGAGTGGGGCTGTACTGTTGAAGCCTGATGCTTCATTCGGAAACCAAGGGAACAATGCAAACATCTGTTTCTATCCTTTAAGAGTCTTCGATCGTTCACCATCAAGACTGAGAGACGTTCTAACTAGTCATAGCCCCTCCTCAAGTACGACCTCTACCATCAATTCCCCTTCACGCCCTCCCTCCATTGTTTATGAATCTATTATGACGAAATTAACATCATCACATTTCACAATATTTTGCGAGTGAATTCAGCCTACTACGTTGCCCGCATATTATTATTGCTCCTTTGGGTTCCTAGTGGTACATAGGGCTTCAACTGCACGTCTCCACTTGCTTCTGTCTTCTCCTGTACTTTTCGTCTGCATTCATGTTAGTCCATACTGTTTCAGCTCTTCTTCACACGATCTCCTCCATGTCACCCTTGCACCGACGTCCCACACGCCGCTTCCCTTTCGGGTTCCACTCGAGGGCTTGACGCGCGAAGTCACCCAGTGGTCTCCTCAGCAAGTGTCCGATCCATCTCCACTTTCTCCTGCATATTTGTTGGTTGGCGATTGGTTCTTGTTTTGTTTGTTCCCATAGTTCCTTGTTGGTGATTCTTTCCGGCCCGACTATCTGATCTTCAGTATAGATCCAGCGAAGACAGTTGTTAATAAAGGTCTGCAGCCTTTTGGAAATATTCTTTGTGACCCGCCTGTCAAGTTTCTGATCCGTATAGAAGAATTGACTGACTTGACGTGTTTGTATTGAAAATCCGCATATAAATACTACTTGTCTATTATTCTACGTAAAAACGTATCCGCCACACATACAGCTGGGCATTATTTTACTCCCTTACGTTCCTAGTAGAACATAGGGCTACTTCAAGCTAGAGCCTTTTTTGAAGTATCGGCAGGAGTGGTGTTTATTATTTCTAAGGGATGGGGTTGCTAACCTCATGCCCAACCCTCCCTCTTTACCAGTTCTATTACTGGCTAAGCGAGGTAAAGGAGTGGCGTTGGCCAGGAATCGAGCCCCGAAACGCCTCAGTGGTCGGTCGACCAGCATTCTACCACTGTTCCACCGACACAGAATCGCATTGTAACGATGAAAAATATCATAATTTACAATTTTATTCCAGAGACTTTCCAGGAGTGTACAGAGAACTTGTTACACAGGAAACCTATGTTTGTCATTCTCTAGGTTCCAAGTGGGACATAGGGGGGGCTTCAACAATACATGTCCATTTCACACTCTTTCGGACCAGTGCCCAACTCATCTGTTCCTCCATTCAAATTCCACTTGACCGATGTCACCCGATAGTCAGTCTTCTTAGTGTGTGTCCCATTCAGTTCCATTTTCTTTAGCAGATTTATTGTGCAACAGATAGATTATTGTTACTTAATTCCTCCTGGCTAAGATGAATAGAGACTTTGTATTTGTAATCCATTTTTTATTCCGTTGACGACATATTGATAGGTGATTAAAAATAAAATCCCTTGATAAACTTCGATAGAGAAAGAAAGCCCAGATTTGCAGTATACAGGGCCAGGAAGTTGTTTGCCTAACAAGGTAGAGGAAGAATTAAGATTTGTTGAAAAATGCCTTTTTGGAAAACGGGTATCCAAAAGGATTCATCCTAAAGTACAGCAGCAAAGAAAGAGGTGAGAGAGAGAAAAGTATCCAACAGTTGAAAAGAAGAAAGTGCCCCCCCACCTCATACAAAGGAGAAACAGTATCGCAAAAGATTGAAAAGTGGATGAAAGGAGCAATAAAGAGATGCTTCCCTGCATCCAATCTGGTGACACTATACAGTACTACATGCTCTATAAGTCAATGGAAACTGGATAAGTGTACCCTGATGATGTTACCTCCAACTGCATTTATAAATTTACGTGCACCTCCTGAGGCATCAAGTACATTGGAAGGACAGAAAGAAGACAGGGCTTCTATCCGGTTTTCAGAGCATATTCCGAGAAACTTATGCTTAAAAGGAAGCAGATATTTACAAATTTTAATTACCAGACACCCACCATGTGGATACGAGTCATTTTGTCGAGATTTCCAAATCATTCAAAATATTAAACATAAAAAGGATAGAGAATCTACTACGATTTACTGCTGAAGCAATTACAGCAATCAAACATCTCAGACCAAACTTATGCGCACAGAAAGAGGATGTAGTCAATCTCTCACTCTCTTGGTAACCATATCACTTTCATTACACAGATTAGTCATACACACTAGTGGGCTCAACTCACTAAGCAAGTTTTTCAATTGGATAAATGAACTTTAACCTTCTTGAGGTGACATGTTGACACTGTTTATCAGATTTTTCTGTTTTCTGTCTTCTCTCACCCCCCTTTTTTTCTTTCTTCATAGTTTGATAGTATATAAATTGATGATAACTTAAACTATAAATTGTAATACTTGTATTCCGGATGCGTTCATTTTATAACGTTTTCTCTATTACGTTTCAAACAATGAAGTATGAAATCTTATTATTTATAACCGTTGTAATTCCAGGTAGTTTGCAGTTAGCTGATGAGAACCTGTGAAATAGAATGACGATATCATATTATACTACAAATCTGGTCTTTCTTTCTCTATTGAAAAATAAAATCAATAAAGCGGTTGAGATAAGGAATTAATGAATACAATACAATAAAATAGTAGACGACTTACAGCTTTAACACAGGTAGTATACGATATCGCGCTGTTATATAAACAACACGTTCATTCAAACGAACAGATTCAACAATACGACGTGCACAATAACTGGCATCAACAGTGGGGAATAACCAAGGATGCCTACAATGATAGTAGAAATGTAGAGATATGTGGATTAATTCTTCGATGAAAGTAAACAGAACCAACTCTCTTGAAGCAGTTCTTACCGCACAAACGCACACACACACACACACACGAAAAAAGGAATAATTGAGAAATAAAAAAAAAACTGAAGGTCAGAAGAAGAATTAGGAAGGATAAAATTACAAATTTATGAATTTATAGTCTCTACTGAAGGCTGACCAGGGCAGTAGTAACAGTGGCTGGACTTGCCTAATATATGTGTAGAACTTGGCCACTGTGGTAGCAAGTAATTCCATATTAGGTTGTTTATTAGATGTATGGCACAGTCAGTGAAACAGTATTAGTATTTACTGGATGACAAGGTTTCGAACAAAATTTATTCTTCATAATCATTGCATCAGTTATAATCACAGGAAATATGTAGGGAAATGTAAAAATAAAATAAATAATGATACTAGTGATAGTGATAATAATAATAGTAATGACGATATGCATGTCAAACGTGCGCAGGATAATGACAACATCAACAATAAGGAATCTAAATCATCAGTAGTGATTCCATACAAGGAAGAAACCTCGGAAACCTTACACAGAATTATTAACAAGACAAGAATAAAGGCGGCTGGCATTCAATCACCCACAAACTCAATTATTAACAAGCTGGGTAGTCGGTTAAAGGATCAATCCTGTGAAGCCTTTAAAACAAAACAATTTAGTTTATCCCTTAAACTGCCTGTAATGATTGTCAGGTCATATACATTGGGTCAAACGAGTAGAGCAGATGAGTCAGACTAGCCAAACATAAAAACCTAGCAGCAAAATCTAGATTAGTTGACCCAAATAAGATAAGAAATGTAGAGAATAGTTCAACTATAACACTCACTGCATGCAGTTACACACAACCATACAATAGGATGGGTGGAATAAGATGACAATTTTAAAATGTAATGTAATAGCAGGGTGGAGAGGGAGAGACTGATAAAAGAAGCTTTGTTTATCGAATCAACTGACAGTGAATACGTGTAATGTGAATGATTCAATACCTGTCCACCCAGATATCTGGAAAATTCTATTACCTCAACGACGACAAATAAGGGAGAAAAAAAGAAAACTATAAAAGTCAAGTTTAGAAGTCGTCTGATTATAATTGATGAAGTGATTATGAACCATAAAATAATTGTGTTTAAAACTTCGTCACCCAGTAAGTAATAATACTGTTTCACTGTGTGATACATCTAATAAACAAACTAATATGGAGTTTCTGAACTTGCCTCTTTTACACACAAAGCACTGGTTGTTTCACACGAATTGCAATAGCCTCTGCTATTTGGAGGATGTGGAGCTATATTATTTCTATTTTTGGGGCACTCCCGAGTGTCTGGCCGGCTGGCTTAAACTACCTGTAGTGGATTTCATTGACTGACGAGGCCATGTTATCGTTTGACGACCACTGTCACTTTTCAAACCTGATCCATCCTGTCAGCTAACGTTAACCGTTGTTGAGGAAGGCGATAGGTGGTGTAGGGGGATGTATGGGTCACACATGTCCTACCAATCTCACTCAATCGGTGTGACTTCACAACCTCGTCGATTGATTCTCCCTCTCTCCTCACCTAACTAACACTCGACAGATTCCTAACTTCAATATTGCTCACCTTATCATTACATCACTTTAACACGGGACATAGAACTCAGACAACTATGATCAAAGACAGCTGGCTAGCTAGCTAGCTGACCTCTTCATGTCTTCGCCTTTTAATGGCTACGCCATGCTCGCAGCCATAAAGGAGGACAGAGAGGACAGCTAAGCAGTACACACGCCCTTTAGTCGATAGCCAGCGGGATATCACGTCTATGCCAGAGGCGGTGTAAACTGGTATATGCGAAACGAGCCTTCTGTCTGTATGCGTGCTAAGATTTCGTCAGCGATCAACCCTTTGGTATTGGGGCTGATGCAACTTCCCAAATAAGTGAAGTGGTCAACACGCTCCACCAATCACTTCACTACCCGTTTATAAGCTAGGAGTGAGTAAGTGGAGTCCAGTCCTGTAGCCTCATTTTACATTTGACAAGGGGAGTGAATCGCATGCCAAACATTCGCAGATTACAGCTCAAGGTGTTCAAAAGACTTCGTCCAAACACTTGAATATTATTTCATACAATGATTCGCTTTTTATAAATTTGAACAAAGAAAGAAGAAACATTGATGCAGACTAATCTGGATCCATTTTATTTGGTTGGTTCTCATCAGCTGCGTACAACCTTTGTCCATTAGCAAGGATATTGTCAGAGCGTCATAGTGAAATAAGGCCTTGCGATTTACAAGGTGTCTAAAGTGTTACGACATATATACATATATATCTTGTTAGAGAGGAGTTTCTTGGAAAAAATCAATTGATAGTTGTGTTGTTGGGGTGGTAACAACAGAAAATTAGTAATAGTTACGCAATAAGATAAGAGAAGATCAAAATTTCGGTGCACATGAGGTCAGATGAGAAGTTGGTGATGTGTAATACAGTGAGCGGAACTCAGAAGATCAAGAAAAATTGTCTCTTAAGAGAGTCAAGCGAAAAATAAAGGGGGGGGGGAGTGAAAGGATAAGTTAATAAAATTAGAAAACGAAGAGTTACTAAGATGTGAGTCACCAGGGTTATTGAAGTCCAACAACGGATTCTTTTTGGACACATAAGTCAGGCTTTAATCGTTTTATTGCTATAGCTTCAGCAAACCTGAGAAGACTTGAGGTACTTTATCTATTAATTATTTTGAATGATTCCAGCATATCTACTCGATGTCTTGTGTCAATCAGGTGTTTGGCGGCGATTGAAGAGCTTAAACAAATCGGTCCCTTTAACCGGAGACTCGCTCCTTGGTACATGTTCGCAGAATCTAGCGTAGGCCTTCCTCTCTGTTCTTCCAATGTAACTGCTCCCGCAGATACATGTGAATTGATACACACAGTTGGAGGTACAATGTGAGCGGGTACTTATTTCACTATGACACTCTGACAATATGCTTACTAATGGACGAAAGTTTGTTAGAATTGTACACTTTTTTATTTTACTAAGGAATTCAGGTTGTATACAGCCGATGAGAATCAACGAAATAAAATGGATCCAGATTATTCTGCGCCAATGTTTCTTCTTTCTTTGTTCAAATCCTGAATATTAAGTTTGTGTTTTTTAATAATAATAATTAATAATAATAAATAAATAATCAAACACTTACTTCGGTGTAACTCCTTTAAACATATTTGTATTCAATAGAAAGGGTAGTATACGCGTGATACAGATTTCATCAACAATGCCTAAATTAGCTAATTCCAATTCAACTGATTCAGCGAGTAGGTTGGAGGCTGCTTTCGATGCACAATAATCTGTACCACCAGCTAACGGGACATAACCAGCTATTGATGAGACACAAACAATATGACCTCTTGGATGACGATATTTATTAATCGGCGAATTAGACTGACTATTTGGATTCGTCACATGATGTTTGTTAAGCATTGTTGGCAGAAATGCTTTAATCAGCTATTAAAAATATCACACAAAAAACAACAGTTATTTTATTATTTTATTTTGATTTACAGCTTGATTCCACACTGTATTTTTGGTACAAGTATGGAATTTTCAGCATAGATATCGGTAGCCCAAATTTTGCAGGTCGACCATAGATATCAGATGTGCGTCGGTGCGGGCTCGAACCCCGGACCATGTGCATAGTCGGCGAGAGTCCTAACCACTGTGCCACCGACGCACAAAAAGTCGTCGATTCTCATGACAGTTGTAAGATTGACGACAATGATATAGGAATTAAATCAGAAATTGAGTATTTTGGACTTATTCTCTTTCTTCTGATCTCTCTTGGTCTTCCCATGTCTTAGCGATGTCTCCAGTGAAATATTCCGCCTGACATTTTACATTAAGAAGTTAAGGCACTCAGGTATAACTCAACCAACCCCTCCTCTTACAGTCCATAAACTCTTGCATCCTACCTATTCTTCTTTATTGTTCACCCTTATTCTTTCCTGGTTTTCTTAAAAAAGGACTATGTCAAAATTCGTAGAATGCCGAAGACGGTCAGTAGGATGAGTGGTGTCCCAGTGGACCGCATAGTTAACGTCGTCGTCGATAGGCACTTGACTTCGTGCAATAAATTCGCTAGAGGGATTTTTTCTGACTTGGAGCATCCACTTTACCCTCAGCTTTTACCTTGCATCTCCTCAGGTAGAACAAGAAGCAACTTCAGAAAACTGTATGCTCGGATGTAGTGGAAAAAATGAAAGTATTCAAGGTAATTCATTCCATTCCACCGAATCTTTCCAATAGACTTCGTATTCGTCTATTGCGCACAGCTGAGACAGGCGATAGGCATTCGAACTATTAAACCTAAACTATGCATTCAAAAGAAGTTCGTACAGCCATTATACCTCCCTTGTTGGCCTATTAAAACATAACCAACTAGTAACTTCTATACCACCCCTTGTTTATATTTTCAACCCCTTTCTTATCATCCTTTAATCTTATCACATCTTCATTAAAAAACATTTTATTTGCTTCCCTTACAACCTAGCATTACTTAATCGGTTCATTTGTTTTTACGAGCCTTTATCGACTACTTCCATCTGAACAATTGTTCGTTTAATCATGCTGTTTTTTCATTATTCGTGTTATCACAGATTGCCTCACTTTTTCATCCTTATTATTGGTAAAACCATTGCTTTTATTATTATCATTACTACTATTATGACTAAATGCACAATTTATATTCACCATCTTATTATCTTATAGACAAAACACCATGATTGGTTTATCTTTGTATTTATTTGTCAAATTATATATGTTAGGGTTAAGCCTGATGAGATCTAATTGAAAACAATATTGTTCGCTTAAATGTGTTGTTCTAAATTTTACTATGGGAGTATTTAATATATCCCAAGAACCCCCAAACAGGCGGTTTACACCTCCGTACGTTTTTCGGCTCACACCAACTGTTAAAGTTAGCATGGACTAATCCAAAGTTTTGCTTTGACCACCACCTGATTGATCCTCTGTCACCTAACAACACTATTACCCGTCAAGAAAGGCAGTGGCTAGGCATGAGTAACACATACTCTAATCACCTCAGCCGATTCACCTTGATTTTCCCTCCTTACCAAAAACACAGATACACACGCAACACCTAACCTCAATATTACTTCCCTATTATACCCCCTAACAGGGGGAGATAGAACACAAACACGTACGATCAAAGATAGATAACCTTTTCACGTCTTCCACTTTCAGTGAACTATATTTGAAAGCCATAAAGAAGGACGGAGCAAACTACTGCGCAGTACATACATGCTTTTATCAGCAGCAGCAGCATCCTGGAGAGAATCAAACAAGCCAACCTGGATGAAAAACTTCGACCGGAACAAGCTGGATTCAGGAGAAACAAGTCATGTATTGATCAAATCGCCACTCTACGGATCATTATTGAACAGAGGTTGGAATAGCAGTTACCTCTCTATCTCAACTTCATCGACTTTGAAAAGGCCTTCAGCAGACAGCGTCGATCGAGAGGTTATTTGGAAATTACTTCGCTACTACGGGGTCCTATCGACAATTTTAAATCTCATCCAACAGTTGTACGACAATGCTGCATTCCAAGTAATCCACAACGGGAAACTTAAGGAATCCTTCGAAATATAGACGGGAGTAAGACAAGCTGGCTGACTGCCTACTATCGCCAATGATTTTCCTGATTGCGGTAGATTGGATAATGCGACAGACAGCTGGTGGGCAGCGAGGAAACACGCATAAAATGGATCTTCACAAATAAAGCTTGAAGGATCTGGACTTCGCCGATGATATATCTGTCTGATTTCCCACAAACTGGAAGATATGCAAGTGAAAAGCAACAAGCTCGCAGAAGAAGCATCCAGAGAAGATAGGACTTCAGGTGAACATAGAGAAAACAGAGGTGATGAAGATTCCTGGGTAACACCAACAGCAACAACAACAACAATCAGCATAAGTGGGAAGAACCTGGAAGAAACAACCTGCTTTACCTACCTACCAGGGAAGCATCGTTCCAACTACAGGTGGAACTGATGAGGATATCAAAGCGAAGATCGGTAAAGCAAGGCGAGCTTTCATTTCTCTGACGTCTGTGTGTAGGCCAACAGCACTACTCGGCATGAGAATGAAAATAACATCCGGATTTTCAACTCCAATGTGAAGTCAGTCGGTGGTACTCTATACGGATCAGAGACTTGCACTGGGTGTCATATAGAACACCTCAAACAAACCACAAACCTTCATTAACAGCTGTCTTCACTCAATACTTCGCTCAAGATCTTATGGCCAGCCAGAAAAAATCAGCAACAGGAATCTCTGAAAATGAGCAAACCAACCCAGCAGGAACCGATTATGCAACAAATAAGCAGGAAGAAATGGAGGTGGGTTGGATTGGCCATACTCTGAGAAAACAAGCCATCAAGTGACATCACTAGACAAGCCATTGCTCGAGTGGAACCCGACAGAATGGGAAGCGGCGAGTTGGTCGTCAGTGCAAGGGTGGGGTGATATGGAGGAGGCCATGTGAAGAGGAGATGAAAGCATGTGGGCAGACATGGAGCCACTTGAAAACTCTAACAGAGAACCGAACGTAAGGGAGACGTGCAGTTGAAAAAGCCCTATGTTCCTCTAGGAATTAAAGGACATTATATATATATATATATATATATATATATATATATATAGTAGGTTTATTAAAATGCATATTAATTGAACAATTATGATATAATAATTAAACTTACATAAAAATGTGACAAAACATTCACTTTGAAACAATCTTCAATAGCACTGGATGTTAAGTCGATCACAGTATCTCCATTCACTACACCAGCATTGTTGACAAGTATTGTTACTTTGCCAAATTCTTTCAACACACTTTCGGTCAATTCATCAATCTGTTTTTTATGTCTATTAATTTTAAGGCAAAACACTATAATAAATTTTTTCATTCTTTTAAAAACAATACATACCTGAAATCGCATACATAAGTTTTAATGTGAATACCAGTCTCTTGGTAGACAATGTCGGCTGTTTCTGCCAAGGATGACTTGTTTAATCCTACAGCTATGATAGTTGAAGAATACTTGGCAAATTCTGAACACATTAACCTTCCGATACCACTGTCGGCTCCTAAAAAGAAAATACATAGATACTAACTGATGCAGATGGCTAAACTTACCGGTGATTAAGACAACGTCAGACGAGAGATCTTTATATACTGGATTGATTAACTGTGAGATCCGTGTGATCAGTTCACAAATACAACACCAAGTTAATTTACACAAGAATAGAAATATCTCTATAAGAATTTCAGTGTAGGGAGGTAAACGTTCCGATTGGAGCATGTTGAGCGTATCTAAAACCCCAAGAAAAATAAAGACACCACAACATCTTATGTGAGAAAATATACCGGAACAAAGAAAAAGAAAAAACAAATTGACAAATCACAGGATATGAACATTTAATAATAATAATAATAATTTACTGTATTCCAAAAACAGTACTTATAATACAGAATGGAATTCTCAGCATTTGTCACAACACCTTGCATCTGATTTACTCAAAAGATAAATAAAATTAAAAATTAAAACAAAATTTAACCAGAGGGATTTATCCACGTTAACGATATAAAGTCAAAAATATTCGAAGCACGAATTGAGAATATCAAATGTAATAATAATAACAGTGAGTTTGTTTCAAACAGTATTGTCGAATCAGTTAAAAAGTTTTGGCATGTTATAGATTATTGGATCTAATGTTCGGTAGATATAGTATAGTGAGGGGAAATACGAGATTAACAGTTCTAACACAGCTTAAATGATGTTCACACTTATGAAAAATAAATAAATAAAAACAAACAATTGAGAGGATTATAAATATAAGAAGTACAATAACAATAAAGTTTGGTACTGTAAGGGTGGAAGAAATGATTTATTTAGTAGTGCGAAGGAGGTTGGTTAGTTAGTTCATGCCTGACACTATTTTCATCACATAAAGTGCGTGCTGCCACATATGGTATAGTGGAATTTTTATACTAAGATGTACGTGCATAAAGTCTTTAACTTCTTGTTCTACCTGAGTAGACACAAGGTTGGAGCTGCGGGTAGAGTGGGTGCTCAGAGTCTGAGAAAATTCCTTTAGCAAATTTGTTACATGACATCAAGTGCCTATCAATGACAATGTCAACGATATGGCCCAATGGGATACCACTCGCCCTACTGACTGACAGTCTTCAGAGTTCTACGAAGTGTGACATAGTCTTTTTTAAGCAATCCAGGAAAGAATAAAGGTGAACAGTAAAGGAGAATAGGTAGGATGCACGAGTTGATAAACTGTAAGAGGAGTGGTTGGGTTATGCCTGAGTGCCTCAACTTCTTAAGTCAGACGAAATATTCTTTTAGAAATCGCTAAGACATGGAAAGACCAGGATAGATCAGAAGAAAGAATTAATCCAAGATACTTAACTTCAGACTTGATTTCTATATCAGTATCATCAATTTCGCGAGGGTCATAGGAACCAGCAGCTTCATTTAACTTTCTTTTACATTGGAAACTGAAATTAACAGTCTGACATTGGGAAGGATTTAGCCTAAAGCCGTTAGACGAGGACTATTTGCTAATTCCTGATAGAAAGCAGTTCGTCTTAGCACAGTCAAGCTGGGAGTCAACAGACATTGAAATAGTTAGATCGTCCGCATAGCATGATAGGAGATGCTCAAGGTGGATTAAGATTCTTAGTTTCGCTATTTCAAGATAACCAACCAACCGACCGCCATTAAAAATCACCGTCAGGGGGAGAAATTTAAAAGACATCGCTTCATTCACTTATCCATAGCTGGAGGAACCGATAAAGACGACAAAGGCAGAATTGGAAAGGCGAGATGACATCTTCATCAATCTGAAATCAGCCTGGAAATCAACTGCTGTCATCATGAGGGACAAAATCCCGATTTCCAACACCAGTATTGAGTCATTTCTTTTATATAGGATAGAAACTTGGCACAGACATCACGAGAAGCATTTCCAACATGCTACTTCAGACTTGTATCAACAGTTGCCTTCTCTGGCTCTATATTGAAGATCACTGTGCTCAATGAAGTTGGTATCCCCCAAGATGCTGTACTCTCCCTACTTCTCTTTTCTTCCTTTCTTTCTACAAGACTTGCCATCTTCAAATGACATTAATATTGTTAGATATGCTGACGACCTGAGTGTATTTGTGCCTGTCAAATGTCAAAGTGACTGCTCCAAAGTAAATGGCTTTTTATCAGAAATCAGCCAGTGGTCCAAGGAAAATTGTCTAACCTTAAATCCCTCTAAATGCCAAACAGTAAATTTCACATCTAGGCATAAATCTGACATAAACAAACTGGTTAGCACTCACGAGATGTGCAACATTGATGGCACTGAAATTGACACCAAGTCGGAAATTGAATATCTTGGCGTCGCTCTATCTGCTGATCTTTCCTGGTCGTCTCATATCTTGATGATTTCTAAGAAAATATTCCGTCTTACCTTCTACATCAAAAAGTTAAGACATTCTGGTATAACCCAACCCTTACTCCTACAATTCGTTAACCCTTGCATCCTGCCTATTATTCTCTATTGTTCCCCTAATTTCGCCAGGGCTACTGAAGAAAGACTATACCTTATTACGCAGGATGTTATAGGTTGTCAGCAGGGTAAGCTATGTGCCACTTAACCAGCTTGTAAATATTCTGGTTGACAGGCACTTGGACTCATGTGAAAAATGGGCTAAATCCATTCAACCTATCTAACTCACAACACCATCTTCATTCACAACTCTCCCCTTGTATCTCATCAGGCCAGACAAGACCAGAAGCCTATATAGAAAACTATATGCTCGCAGTAGCAAGTACAAAAACTCAACCATATCCTACTTAGCTCGTGTTCTGTGCGATAAAGAAAGCATTAGGCGTGAAAGTTATAACTGATTAAAAAGTCAGTAGAACAACTGGATCTCGTCTTTTCAACTCATATCATTTATAGGTACAACGTTTTTCTTTCTTTCTTTTCCTTTTCTTTTTTTTGTTATATGGTGTTTCGCTTCTTCATTCCTTCCAAACTCTATTTGAAACCTTCTTCTTCGTTCTTTTACACTCTGTATATCTCGACTTTTTCATTACCGCTTACACCAGTAAATATGCTAGCATCTACTTTTCTAACACCTTCAAACACTCTGTTCAATTTTTGGCTTTGCTACCGACATGCTAATATGTTGTCAAAATTAACTGAGATTACCCTTAGTCTATGTAGAATTTTATTTATTGTTAATGTATAAACCGGATGCAATACTGTAGTGAAATGGTGAGAATTCCATTCTGTATCACAAGTACTGTTTTGGAATAAAGCAAATTATTATTATTAAAATGGCCAACCAGAGAGAATTAGAAGCTAGAGACTATAGGAACAACCCAACCAAGGATTGGGCACACGCTGAGGAGACCATTGAATTGAATCGCTGGGGTGGAATCTGAATAGGAAAGGAAGAGTGAGTCGTCGGTGCAAGGGTGACATGGAGGAGATCATGCAAGGAGGAGATGAGAGACTATGCGCAGTCGTGGACACAGATGAAGAGAACAGTACGAAATACAAGAGAGAGTGGAGATGTATTGTTGAATCTCTAGGTTCCCCTTGGGACCCAAGGGGACAATAATACTAATAACAATAATAATAATATAAAATATAGTTTCGCCATTTTATACACTTATCTGCCTTCATGTGAATTTGAATAAAGTGAAGATGAAGGTTTATATACAGAGTGAGAAATGGTACCATCCTTTCATTTTTTTCGGCTTTTCATGAGATACGTAAAGCTTAGAAATGTCACATGATGTCAGTTAACAGGAGACTTCAACATTAATGAACAGCACTCAGAAATTACATTTATATATACCGGTTCAGGTTTAAACCAACACAAAACCATAAAATAATAATAATGAATATTTGGATAAAATGGCATATGAGTTGCGTGACAGGGATGTCCACTTTCCCCATTTCTGTTTAACTTCATCATAGATATGCTAATGTAAGTATCCTTAACTGAACGTAACGACTTAGGAATCGACTTGTTACCAGGGAATAGTCTTATGGACTTAGAATATGCAGATGACATAGTCCTGTTAGGGGAGGATGCTGACAAAATGCAGAGTCTTCTGAACACCTTGAGCAGCAATCTTCGTATGTTTGGCATGCGATTCGCCCCTACAAAATGTAAGATGCTGCTACAGGACTGGACCACGTCAACTCCTAACTTATTGATAGGGAGTGAAGTGATAGAACATGTTGATCACTTCACCTATTTGGGAAGTTGTATTAGCACCAACGGGCTGATTGGCGATGAAACCTCAGCAAGGATCCAAAAAGCTCGAGCTGCTGTCGCTGACTTACACCATCTCTGGCGTAGGCGTGACATCCGGCTATCAACCAAGGGACGTGTGTACTGCTCAGCAGTTCGTTCCGTCCTTCTCTATGGCTCTGAAACATGGCCAATACAAGTTGAAAACATAAAAAGGTCGACTGCTGTTTTCGATCATAGATGTCTGCGATCTCTGTCTCACGTTAGGTGGTTTAATAAGGTAAGTAATGTTGACGTTAGGCGTAGAGTGTTGTGCAAAGAGGGAAAATCAATCGACGAGGCTATAAAGTTACATGGATTGAGATGGCTAGGCCACGTGCTGCACATGCCTAACCATCGCCTCCCCCGACGGGCGTTACTAGCTGATATAGGTGCGTGCAGGTTGGAAAAGGGTAAGTGGTGGCCAAACAAAAACATGGCCTCATCAATCCATCAAATCCTTGACAGTTAAACTGAGTAAGGTAGGGAGATGCAGACTTCCGGGTTGGGGCCCTTGGGACTCTATGAATCAATCAATGGCTGGAGACAATAGGTGACATGGCTCAACATCGTTGTCAATAGCCAGCGCAGATGTATTCAGTCTCTGTAATCTTTCATATTCCTTTCTACCATTACCGATTCTGTTTCACTCTTATACTTGTCAAACTGTTGATTCCCTTCACTCATCTTCTTGTCTACCTCTGTGTGCTATTTGGAACGTGGCAACTCGAACTGTTGCACTTCGGCTCCAAGTTGTATGTTGAATCCAGACAGACAGATAAAGGGAGACAAGAGATGGACAGGCTCATAAGTAACTAATAAGTTGCATAACAGCGTGGTGATTTCAACTCAGATCACACAAACAAACGATGTGCAGAATTATACTATATTTTTTAAAATTCTTTCATATTTTTTATTTACAGCTTGATTCCACACTGTATTTTTGGTACGAGTATGGAATTTTCAGCGTATGATATCGGCAGCCCAAGTTTTGCAGGCCGACCATAGATATCAGGTGTGCACCGGCAGGGGATCGAACCTCGGAGAGTCCTAACCACTGTGCCCCAAGAAAAGGATGAAGAGGTCAAAGTCAAATATTATGCAACTAAATAAAAAGAACAGGAAATACATTGTCAAGTTATCACATCCAGCAAAGACTGATAGCTGAAAGTCTTTCTGAACGTATAGAGCAGATTTCAGGTAATTGGTAGCAATTGCTCCAGCAAAACTGAATAGAGTTGAAGTATGTTGCCTATTGACTATTTTGAAGGATTTCAGAGTGTACTTCATTTCATATGACCCGTAACATTAAGATATCTGACAATAGCATTACTGAAGGCATCTTTAGGCTTTTTTGTAGGTGTCAATCGATATCATATCGCGATTTCTAAGCTATGTGTAGTTAATGAGAAGTTAGAGGGATGAACGTCATCTCTGGCGTAGATGTGATATCCGGCTGGCTATCGACCAAAGGGTGGGTGCACTGCTCATCAGTACTCTCCGTCCTCCTTTTCGGCTGTCAGTGAGACCTGGTCATTGAGAGTGGAAGATATGAAGAGGCAGGCTAGCTTTCTTTGATCATAGGTGCCTGCGTTCTCTCTCTCGCGCGTGAAGTATAATAATAAGGTGAGCAATATTGAGGTTAGTCATCGGTCGACTGTTAGGGAAGGAGGCGAAATCAATCGGCGAAGCTGTGAAATTACATCGACTGAGATGGTTAGGACATGTGTTAATCATGCTTGCCTAGACATCGCCTGTCTTCCTCGACAATGGGAAATGTTAGCTGACATAGGGTCAGGCTGGAAAAGAGCTAGCCAGTGGCGGTCAAACCAAGACATGGCCTCATCAGTCAACGAAATTCACAACAGTTGTGGTGGCTCAAAATCGTTCTCAATGGCTGGTTCAGATGCACCCACTCCTTGTGACTTATGATTTCCAATGAAACTATATTGTTCTTCGTTATTACTATTCCTTTTGTGTCACACCTCTGTTTACTGTCTCTAATATTCATTTCTTCTACTATCTTCTGTTGCTTTGTGTGCTACAAGGAGGGAGTGTGGCGATTTGAAGTGCTGCACATCGGTGCAACGTTCTATGTCGAATAAAGACATGCACAAACCACCGTTGTCTTTGCTTTATTCAAATTTCCTCTCTTTTTTTATTGAACTTTTATTTTGTTTCGTAGTACGCGAGAAAATTCACAAAGATCACTAACAGACTACATGAGAGCTGTGATCATGCAAAATTTAAGGTTTATTCCGTTTTTATATGCTCCAATAGGGAATTGATTTCTACAGTGTGGACAGCCTAGTTAGTTGGTATTAGCAACCAACCACATATAGTTCGATAGAGTGACAACGTCCATCTGATTACTCGATGAGCTCTTTTGCCTTTCTGTTCTCTTTTCATTATTTATGTATGTTATTCTTTAAACTATTTCCTCACCTCACCTACATAAGTGAGACCTTAACTGTGAGCATTGTTAGGTGACTTCACAAACGACTGATGGATAGTGAATGTAAGATTTCGAAGTGGTGATGACCATTTATAAAATCATCAACTGACATAGCCTTCTTCATGGATGTGTGTATATCGGATATACTATAAACACACTGGAACAGTATTCTTTACTGGGTGACAAAGTTTCGAATACAATCCTTTGCTGTTCATAATTGTAACAACACAACTTCAGAATTTGACTTTTTTTCTATAGTTTTCACCTTTGTTTCCCACATTTTTCGTAAGGATATAATTCCGCACATATTCCGGATAGGTGTTGAATCATTCCTATTACACGTATTCTCAATTGGTTATATTAATTAATAAAGCTCCGGTTATCAGTCTCTCCCTTCACTATGTTATATTAGATTTTAAGATTTATACCATCCTGTTGTATGGTTGCATGGAATTAGATGCGGTGTTACCGCTGAGGTATTTTCTGGACTTCTATTATTTTTTTATTATAGCTTGATTCCATAGAGTATTTAGGTACAGGTATGGAATTCTCAACATAAAGACAAAAACGACAGCAACCATGTAATTTAACCATGATCCAAACTTATGTAATTTAAATAATACTCATCTATGCTTGTACAATTGCCCTACATAGGAATAAATATATCCTTTGTTATATTACCATTATTTAATATGCCCACTAATCGTATATGTAATTTATCATATTAATGATACCTGTACAAAAAATGAGAATACATTATTATTATTGGTAGCCCAAATTTAGCAGGCTGACGATCGATATCAGGTGTGCGTCGGCCGGAGCTCGCACCCCGGACTATGTGCATGGTCGGCGAGTATCCTAACCGCTGTGCCTCGGCAGAAAGATATCTTAGAATCCAATATAACATGGTAGATGGAGAGACTGATAATGGAAGCTTTACTAATTATTCTAACCAATTGAAAATACGTGTGATAGGAATGATTCAACACCTATCCGGGATATGTGCGAAATTCTAACCTTACAAAAAATGTGGGAAAGAAGGGTGACAACTATATAAAAAAGTCAAGTTCTGAAGCTGTGTAGTTACAATTGGTGGTAGGATGATGGACAGTAAAGGATTGTTTTCGAAACTTTGTCAGCCAGTAAAGAATACTGTTTCACTGTGTGATATATCCAATAAAGAGTTACGTAGTACCATAGTGTCTAAGTTTTTCACACATTTATTTGACATAACAATTTAAGTCTAATCTCAGAATTAATTTTGTATCAACATACGAAGGTATAAATGGTTAGAACCTGTGAACTTCCCGTTTCTTCGGTCTCATGAGTTGTACCACGATGACAAGTGCAGACACAACTGCTAAATGATACACACCAATTGATAGATAGCTAGACGTCTTGTTGGTTTCAAACATGGTCGGAGAGCAAAAATTCGGGCAGAAAATGGATCGGAAACTATTCAGCGCACAAGCAAATGTAAGGGATACAAGCTTGAAACTATAAAACTGACGTTATAGTGCTCTAATTCTTGTTCAGTATACCTGCAGTGCCTCCTAATTTGTGATCCAACTAGCTCAAAAAGTAAGACTTCATATGTACATATTATGTCATCTATGCACCACATCCTAATTTCAGTCAAAAGGTATCTTAACATCAGAAGGCAGTGAATTACGTGAATTTAAAAATAACTTCGAAAAATGGTCTGTAACATCCGAACACCAATAACAGTTCACTGAGAATTTAAGTCAGGAGATATGACTAACCGACAGCTTTATGCACACCAACGTCATCTCCTCTGACTTTAAATACAAGATGATACGAAAATACGGCGACTAAAAACTGTTTACATATCAAGTAAGATTTTTATCATTCCCTGGTTTGTTTTCATAGCTGTTATCAAAACACCATTTAGTATGTTTTCAAGTTATGGGAGGTGGCTATTTTGTCCGTACTGTTGCGCTGGTGGAAACTGTTTACGATTCCTGAAGACTTATCAATGACGACTTTCACTTACGTACAATACAGTTGCACAATGTCCTTTGTTTAAAGAGCATTTTGTCACCTGTGATCCTCAACGAGATCTAGGCACGAACAGGTGTCAGCGTCAAAATCTACTAAGTAGCTGAGATCTGCAACAACACTCCTGAGATAACTTAGTTTCAAAGCCGGATATCGTGGAATTTCTGTCTATCTGTCATACTCAAGATTTCTCCAGGATTTCAACACGATGTGTATGTATGACGTTTTACTTTTTGGTAACGGGCTAGTTTATGCTAGTTTGAGTGCACCGTAGAAAGTTTTTCAACCTAGGAAGAATAAGTCCTATGTGCACATGCACATCTAACGTTTTTTGGTGCTTTTCAACTTGATGTTTCTCCAGTGTATCCGAGGCTTTATGACGAAAATGAAAGACAATTCAGCGAAGGAAATTTTCTTTATCAATGAAATAGTCATTAGAGGATGTACGACCGTACTTATCCTATTACTGAGAAATAAGTAAGGATAACAATCAACAAAATTACTCAGAATTGGTTTCTAAAGATAAAAATATTACGTAATGGTCAACGACACGACTGAACGGTTTGGAATATGATAATGTGGAAATTCATACTTGTTGAAAAGTAAGGAAGTTTACTGTCTGCTTGGCAAGTGTGGAGAGGGTGCGAAAAGAACTTAGTAGAGTATACGAAGTGAACATGTAAGAGTGACATTAGTGACTTGATTACTAGAAATAGAAGCAAATGAGTAGGAAAGAGATTAATACTATAGTAGAGTAAGAGACTGAACAAACGTTTTCTGCACAGAGTCCGAGGTTTTATTGACGAATGGCTGTATAGTCAGCAGATAATCAGTAGGTGTATGGAAAAAAACGTGCCGCTTTGGGTCACTTGAATAGAAAGCCCCACTTGAGTATTATTTTAACATGATCTCAAAGGTGAGTGAATAGCACATAGTATTACGTTTCGCAATATGTATACGGTGAATGCACTGACAATTCGTCAATATAGACTCTGAATCTGTGTGCAAAAAAGGTTTCTTTAGTTTTCTGTTCTACCATAATTTTAATTCTTATCCCAATAGTTCATTTCAGGAATTAAGTCAATGTCACCACTCCTACACGCTCCTTTTGTTTTTTCCGCCAAGTTTTTTCCTGCCATCATCACAACTATCAAGTGGAAACTCAACTGCTTTAGTTCGTATCAAGTAACAAATTTCACCTTATCAAGTTTTAAACCCTAGAGTGAGAGTATCCGAAGCTTCGGATGCACTCATCCTTCTATTGTGTCGTTGACTATCTATGAAGACATAACCATTGTAGCCGAAAATTCTCGAAATAGTAGATAATAATTTTATGAATCTTTAAGCAGAAACTTCCTTCGAACTATCGCTTCATACAGTGTAAAAACAATACGCTTACCCCCTGACATACACGTTTGATTTAGCGCAAGGACGATTCCGCGATACTTGACCTAAAGTGCCTCGATATAACTTAACAACATTTAGTCTGAAAAAATTCTAGACAGTTATCAAGTAAACAAATAAAGAAATAACTGAATAAGCACATTAATTTGAGAGCTTTAGTATTGATTTTGGGTGGTGAAGGGTGCTTTAAGGATAAACAAATCTGACTGATTTTTCTACTTAGTGTATTAGCCTGGATGACATTACGTAACCCCAATTAAAGTTTCGCGAGAGACAAATGCTATCGATTATCTTCGCAAACTGCGTGCTTTAAAAACCTTAAGTTTTCCGGGTGTTGGTGAGTTCTCAATCTCGATCTGCGCGAACTTTGAAAAGGGAGTTAATTTTACACGCTCTTGTTTATTATTGGCTTTTGTTGTGTTATACGCTCCAAAAGTCTAGAGATTAACTTTAAATCAGTTTATTCTGATCGAAGTTAGTTTACTTTTCAGATTTGAGTCTATTAAATTATAGGAAGTTGTGTTCTTATAACTTAATAGCTATATATATCTATCTGTGTGCACTCATTAGCTTTTATCACTGATTTATAAAGGTTATATATTTGAAGTCGTATTTAATTTTTTCCTGGTTCGTTTTAAATAAAATGCCTATCAAAAGAAATCTTTGCGGAAGGGCTATGTGCCAGTTTCCAGTGGATGAGGGAATGCAGTGTGATAACTGCAAGAGATGGTTTCACAGTATGTGCACGAACCTTACTCCAGCAGCATACAAACGCTGCTGCAAACCTCTAGCAAACTGGTTGTGCAACGACTGCTGTAGTACAACTAAACTCCGTATTACAGAAGCCATTGCTACTCTCAGTGGGGCTTTAAAGCTCATGGACTGCAAGCGTCCTCCACCACAGAAGAATACCGACTATTGCTCAGATAACGATGACGTGACTAGCGTCATTGACAAAACAGCACATGTCCCCGATGCGACCTTGCCAATAAGTGAGTGCCCTACAGCACAGAAGAACACCCACCACATTCCAGACACCCAGGCTGCCCCCACGATACTGGATAAGCCCTCCAGTGACAGTAATGGAAAGACTGCCGCGAAGAAGAGGCGTACCAGGGGTCGAAAACCTGCAGCTCCAGTCGCCCAGGGACTGGCGGAACAAGCCTCATCCACACCGGTGAGCAGCAGACAGATAAACCCCATTACGATTAGCGAGGAGGACGCCAATGAATGGCGCAATGTAGTCTCTCGCAAAAAGCGAGATAAGGATAACACTTTGGCCACACCGCCCAAGAAGGATAGAAACACACTTACGCCTCAGAGCAAGAAAGTCACGGAAAGCAAACCCGATCTCTCTGACAGGTCTCTCATTCTCCACAAAGTGGAGGAGTCACTGGCCCTCGATCCTAAGGCCAGATTCGAGCATGACCTTAACTTGGTCAAGCCCCTTTTAGACAAGCTACTGCCACAAACAGTATCAGGCATTACTATACAGAATAGGTCAAAAGCCTGACCCTACAGTAAGTGAGCCTGTACGTCTCCTCAAAGTCGTACTAAACTCTAAAGAAGAGAGGGATGCTATTCTAAGCAACTCTCATATTCTCAAAGGATCAGGGATATATGTCCGCGCTGACTTAAGCCTAGCAGACCGTGTCAAAAGACAGGCTGCGGCACTAGAATTAAGTGAGCGACGCCGGAACGGTGAGAAGAACCTTAAGATTAAGGGTTTTCGGGTTGTCCGAGTTCGCAGTTTAATGATCCCGAAACCTCTGTGGGTGGGCCGGGGAAGCACCAATCTGAATTAACAGTCTGCTACACAAACGCCCGCAGCCTGTTAAATAAAAGGACTGAGCTGGCAAACATGATAGAAACCGGAAACCCGGATGTAATTATTATCACAGAGACATGGCTCACACCCGATGTCACTGACAACGAAGTTAACCTGCCAAACTTCGAAGTGCACAGGGTAGACCGACTAAACCGCAAAGGAGGGGCGTAGTCATCTACCTCAAGAAAGGCTTAACCGTGCGTAGTATCGAAGCACTCGCCCACGAAAGTGAGTCGTGCGAACTTCTACGCTGCAGACTTAAATGCATAGGCCAAGACATTGACCTCATTGCTGTGTACCGCAGTCCTGACTGCAGTGCAGACGACTTCCTAATAGAGAAGCTAGGCTCCTGGACTTCAAAATGTCGAAGTCTCGTAGTCGGTGACTTCAACGCCCCAACAGTTGACTGGTCGAGCCTAACAACTCCATCTTCAGTCAACTCCTTTGATCATAAACTGCTAGAATCTAGTATATCGCTAGCCCTAGTCCAACATATCATTAAGCCCACGCGCTATGACTCACAGCACTCCTCGTCAACTCTGGACCTAGTGTTCTCACACGGTGAGGATGTGGATCTCATACAACATCTTCCTCCGTTAGGAAGAAGTGACCATGCTGTGCTCACTTTCAAGTTCACAGCAACGGCAGCAAGGGCCAAAACCCCAGCTCGACCAAACGTTTGGAAAGCTGACATAAATGCGATCGTCTCAGCAGCCAACTCAGTAAACTGGTACATCAATCCAGAGTCCCAAGTAGAAGCCGCATGGAACCAATTTAAGCAACTTTACGCCCAAGTAACTGTACCCTTCATCCCTTGGTCTGTTCCAAAGGGTCGGAAACATTCCCCCCCTTGGATAAACCGGGAGATTCGTAAGTTACTCAGACGTAAACGCAAATGTTGGAACCTGTTTGCAACACTTGAGACTTCTGAGACCAGGGAATTATATAACACCGCTAGAAATCCGCCAATCAAGGATGAAGTTCGAGACACACCTGGCCAAAATGCAAAGGCACAACCTAAGAAAATTTTCTCGTACTTGAATTTCAGGAATAAAACACCCAATGGTGTCCCAAACCTGATTATTGACAAAGATACAATCGAAGAAGATCAAGAAAAAGCAGAAGCAATGGCAAACTACTTCTCCCAAGTCTTCACTCAGGAGTCATCACTGCCTATAGGATCAGCTCTGGCTGCATCAGAAGAACATGGGATAGATTCCGTTGACATCGACCAAGGCATCGTGCTCAACTTCTTAATGAAACTAGATGCAGGAAATCAATGGGTCCTGACAATCTTCATCCAAGGCTTCTCAAGGAGCTATCAGCCCACATAGCCGGCCCCTTGACCACGATCTTCAAGCTATCTCTCCTAAATGGAGTGTTGCCACGTGATTGGAAAGACGCCATAGTAACCCCCATACACAAAGGAGGATCAAGACAAAGCCCTTCAAATTACAGGCCTATCAGTCTCACCAGCACTTTAATCAAGACACTGGAAAGAATTATCAAGAAAAGCATCATGGCTTATCTGGAAAATAGCAGCTTGTTATCTGGAGCACAGCATGGCTTCCGGAGGAACCTCTCATGCCTGTCAAATCTCCTGACTGCAAGAGAAAGCTGGGTCAAATCAAAGGACAACAGAAGACCCGTTGACGTCGTCTTCATAGACTTCAGTAAAGCCTTTGATAAAGTACCTCACAAAAGACTACTCATGAAATTGGAAAGTCTTGGTATCAAAGGCAGACTACTAGACTGGCTCAGGGAATTCCTCATAGATAGGAGGCAGAGGGTTAGGATCAACTCAAAACTCTCCTCCTGGACAGCAGTAAGTAGCGGAGTGCCACAAGGCACGGTTCTCGGTCCTCTCCTTTTTATTCTGTATATCAATGAGTTACCTCTGCTCACCGACTCCCCTATGGTCCTATACGCAGATGACTTAAAAATTTGGAGAGCTGAAGGGCAACAGTGATACGTTCACGTTGCAAGAGGACCTCAACAAATTGTCGGAGTGGTCTGTTGAATGGATGCTCCCGATCAATGTGGCAAAATGTGGCGCATTGGACAAGCAAGCACAAGCTCCTACGAGTTAGAGGGAATAACACTTCCATCAGTTCAGACTCACTTGGACTTAGGTGTCATAGTTAGCCACGACTTAAAAACTACAGCACACTGTCGCGCGGTGGCTGCACGTAGTTTCAGGTCCTTATGGGCGATTCGCAGAGCCTTTACAAGAATTACCAGAGATATGTTCACCTCCTTATATACATCTCTGGTTAGGTCAAGACTGGAAAACTGCATCCAGGCCGCCAGTCCTTGTCTAAAAGGGGATTCACACATTCTAGAAAGTGTTCAAAGGAAGGCAACACGTATGGTTCACGGCATAGCTAACTTATCATACGAGGAAAGACTAGACAGTTTAAATCTCTTCTCACTGTCATACCGTAGGCAGAGAGGAGATTTAATCACAATGTTTAAAATTTTAAATAATGACTACGGACCTGACCTATTCTCTCTTTTCCTTCCCACCAGGTCGGAACACCTTAGAGGACATAGCAGGAAAGTTCAAAAGCCAAGGAGAAATCATATTGCTGTTGAGTACTGGTTCTCACATCGAGTCATAAACTCTTGGAACCGACTCCCAGAAGAAGTGGTGTCTGCAACCTCAACTGATTCGTTCAAGAAGGGTTTGGACAACCACAGAAATCTACTAGAAAAGGATTAACATAAGCTGCAAGCCTTCTATCCTCAACCAATAAACCTGAATCTGAATCTTAATGATGTCAATGTATCCATTTTGTAACATTTGTGGTATTTGGTGTGACTCTGATACAGATTAATGATTTGTTTGCCAGCTTCATTAACATGGTCGTGCGATTATTCTTAATGCCCTGTCGTTAACTATTACCACTGGTAATGAACACTAGAATTTAAATTAGCCGACAAATGTCCAATGATAATAGTTACCTCATGCGTGTATACGCTAATTACCTTCCAGAAACCAAAACACAACTGAATCTACAATAAACGAATTGATAACAAAAAATCATAATAGCAAAATATTTGAGCAGAATAGTAGTCTTCCATGTGGCCAAACTGTAGAATGGCTTCTAGTGGGCAAAGTTCTTCCCCGTTAGTTGATGAAAATGCTCATGGCCATGCAGAAAGCAGGGGTGATTC